CCAAACACACGGCAAAAACTAAGTACTGCTAAATGGCACGCTGGCCCGCGGTATTGGCTGAGTGGGAGGGAGCTTGCTAATCCTATTGCAGCCCATGTAGTAGTTACAGTGGGGAGGAGGAAAGTTGCTGTGTTGTGCTGGGCTTGCTGCCCAGAAGAGTGCTGTCACAACTAGACCGTTGCTGAAGGACTGAAAAGTAGCATGCTGCATGGTAGAGAACAGCATTCTGAAAACCCTGGGTGCTCTTATTCCCAGGAAGAGCAAAATGCCTGAAAAAATACCTGTATTCCCTAAGAAAATGTCTCTCATTTCTGTGGGAGAGCCCCTATAACATAGGGAAGCTCTGAGGATAATAGTCACTCCGTATGATGGAAGAGAATGGCCACAGTGTGCAACACAATTTTTGCTGGCTTCAGGAAGCTGTAACACCAAGTGTTTTTCTTCCACAATGAGAACTGCAGTTCATGTGTATGTAATAAAAGTGTGAAGAAAAAGGAAAACTCTTTTTTTCTGCCAGGAGTGCCCTGAAGAGTTTTGTTGTCACTTTTTCAAGGTAAAGTGATCTGAACTGCTAATGGACAACCCCATAGCCCTAAGTAGTGTCAGAGAACTGTAAAAAGTCAATGGCTTAAGGAGAAAGTTGTTACCTACAATACTGGGACTCTCTTACTCAGTTTTGAAGGTGTAAATAAGAGCAGGGGTCTCCTTTTCAGGCAGCATTTTTTCTTGTGGTACAGTCTGCACGTTATAACCCAGAGAATTATAAAAGGATCCTAAAAGCAGTGAAAGACTCTTAAAGCAATGTATAATTGGGAAACTGTTTTGCCATGTATTGCTTCACAAATTTCATTGCTCTCCAGGGCAGATGTAGTTCAATACCCTTCTGACTGGCTCCCCTCACCTTGATTGAAACAGCGGCAGAGGCTAAAGCACTTCACCTGTAGATGTGAAGCAAGATATATGTATAAGTATAATACCGATACAAAGATGTATATGCAGAAGGCTGTGATTTGATCTGTCTAGTTCAACTCTCCAGCTTTTGCTGGTTCGAGTCCAAATGAACTCACTGCAGCAGAAACAGTGGATTTTATTGCGCATTCCTGCTGCAGAATTGAATTCACATGCAGCAGCTCTGGCCAGCACCTTTACTGTGGAATGGTTTGAAAGCACAAAAACATCTGCTTGTTAACAAGCAACTACATTAAAGTCTTATTTATAGCTTGCCTTTGTCTTGGGGATGAGAGAAATTAAAAATGGCTTTTGACAAACTTCTGTCAAATATACAGTGATATTCCCTGCCTTACTAAAATAAGTGTAACACTGAAAGAGAGCAGGAGCACTCGTGCACTACTAAACCTGCATTTAAGGGTGCTATAGAAAACTTTGGCACATTTTAAAATGTGGGCTGGTCAGGTGTAGGTGATACTGTCAAGAGCTTCAGTTACACTGAAGTTTGTTTCAGCTCTGCTTATTAAGATGTGAGTCTTACTGCAGCAGTTAGGAATTTGACCATGAGTGGGTACTAACCACCTGTTACGGTTTCATTTTCTTAATAAAAGCAAGTCCAAATTGAGTCACGTTTTAGAAGTATTTCCCACAACTTTGAAAGCCAGAAAGGTACTTGTACTTTTCTTGTTTGTGTGAAGTAACTAACAAAGCTATCTCAGTACAAAATTTGTACTTATAAAGAAGTAATTTTTTCATAAGAGCCTGAAAGTAAGATTTAAAAAAAAAAAAAGAAGTTTTAAACTAGATGCTGCAAAACACTAGACCCTTGATTTGGACACTTTATTTTGTACACTGTTTTCTTAAGCTTTTGATGGTTTCTCATGTTTTATAAAGTGTTAAAGTTTCCTTTTATCTTGCAGTGGTTCTTTGCATATCCCTACAGAGCAATTTGGAACTGACGTTTCTTCTTTCTGTCGTTTCACGTTTGAGTGTTCTTAAGTTGTTAACTAGCTACTGTCTTAATTAAAACCACATGTCATTAAGTGTTAAACTCACTGTGCTGCTGTCTACAACCATTAGAAGTCATTGTTTTTGTGTAAATATGTTCTGATTATAATGTGTACAGATCATTTTTAGTAATTCTGTGGAATCTTAATTCTGTGATTTGTATTCAAAAATGTATTTGGTTTTTTCCCCTTTTGTAGGGCCACGAGCCTAAAGAGCCAGAGCAGTTGAGAAAGCTGTTCATTGGAGGTCTGAGTTTTGAAACAACAGATGATAGCTTGAGAGAGCACTTCGAAAAATGGGGCACACTCACGGATTGTGTGGTAAGGTGACAAATATTTGTGCTTTTGGAAAGATACGGGTACTTAAGATAGTACAGGAACGCGGTGTCCCTTCTACGTTTTTGTAGGTGATGAGAGACCCACAGACAAAACGTTCCAGAGGCTTCGGCTTTGTGACTTACTCTTGTGTGGAAGAGGTAGATGCTGCAATGAGTGCTCGACCACATAAAGTTGATGGACGGGTGGTTGAACCAAAGAGAGCAGTTTCAAGGGAGGTAAGTTAGTGTTTCAGTTAACTTTATTGTTCTTAATATGTGCCTAGTTACGTAAAGCACTGAGTATCATTTTTGGTGTTGCAGGATTCTGTAAAGCCTGGGGCACATCTCACAGTAAAGAAAATATTTGTTGGTGGAATTAAAGAAGATACGGAAGAGTATAATTTAAGGGAATACTTTGAAAAATATGGCAAGATTGAAACTATAGAAGTCATGGAAGACAGGCAAAGCGGAAAGAAAAGAGGCTTTGCTTTTGTAACTTTTGATGATCATGATACAGTTGATAAAATTGTTGGTATGTAATTCTTTAATGAGAACTGGCTTAGGGGATAAACTGACTTTAGTTCTCAGAAAAGCAGTGCATGGGATGCAATAGTTTCATAAATCGGTTGCTTGACAGTATTGCAAGAAATGGGGTAGATTGAATACTTAGTTTAAACCATGCTTATGCCTTACGTTAGTGTTTTGTTAGTGTTTTATGGTGTGTTGTTTTTAATGATTTGATTTTCTAACTTTCCAATTTCACAATTATCTCTAGTTCAGAAATATCATACTATAAATGGACATAATTGTGAAGTGAAAAAAGCACTGTCAAAACAAGAGATGCAGACTGCTAGCTCTCAGAGAGGTAAATTTAGAATTATATATGATAATCTTATATCACTGGTTTTCAATTAACGTAATTTAAGTAAAATATTTTATAGGTCGTGGGGGTGGCTCAGGCAACTTCATGGGTCGTGGAAACTTTGGAGGTGGTGGTGGAAACTTTGGCCGAGGAGGAAACTTCGGTGGAAGAGGTAAATGACTGGAATGTCTCCAAAATATGACTTTTCATTTGCTGTGTCTGTTGGCTTTAATACTTAACTTGTGTGCAGGAAAACAATCTCATCTGTTTTGTGTTCCAGGAGGCTATGGGGGTGGTGGTGGCGGTGGTGGGAGCAGAGGAAGCTTTGGGGGTGGTGACGGATACAATGGATTTGGTGATGGTAAGTGTATTCCCACCTCCCCCTCTTTTTTCTTAATTGTATAACTAGCTTTAAGTCTTACTTCCATCTTGGAAACCAAGTCTACTTTGGTGATAGTTTTTTTTGCTTGTTGAGCATCAAGAGTTGGAGGTTCTTGGTTTTGTTTTGTTTTCCCTTCTTCTCCCCTCTACCTGCCCCACCAAAGGGTGGAAGGAAATTTTTTCCTGCATTCGGCCTTTAGATAACCTCATATCATGAGGTCGTGCTTCATGTCGTGAAGCAGCTATGTATTACTGAGAGCAGTGAAATGAAGATTCTGATATCATTTGGGATGATTAAATCTGTGAAGTAAAGCAGTGACCAGCTCTCTCTCTAAACGATACCAGAATTCTCTTTAAATCAACTCTAAGACTTTTCTTTTCATGCATTGGTGGTATTTTTTTTCAACGTGAAATTGGGGTGAGTATCCAAAATGGATCTGAAGAAGGCTGTGGAAGTTGCCAAACGGTCAGCTGTGAAAGCGACATTTTCATTGAAACAAATGACGAGATAACCTGTAGTTACGTATTACTGATTCTACAAGCAGTCGTACTTAGTGATGTTGAGTTCTCTGATACTGTTTCCCAGTTCAGAAGTACTCCATAAATATGTATGGCACCAGCTCAGTACCCGGAAGATTGTCTCTTAGATATGCTTTTGGTGACTGGAAGAAAGATCATCTAGTAGCTTTGGCACAAGTTTAAGTAAAGCTGTATGTCTAGATCAAAACTGCAAACCAGAATTCTTTTGAGGGCTGTGCCTACTAAGTACTTTCGGTTTAGAGGTATAAAGAGGATGGCATGTAGTACTGATGGAAAGCTACTTGCATAAAGAGGCAATTAACACAGTTAACAGGTGGTGGTGTTATATCTATTCAATTTGCATGAGCAAGAATGAAATTTACTATTATGCTTCTAATGTGGACATAGTCAAATGTTTTCTATTTGGACTAGATAATTCAGGTAAATGATCATTGGTTTTGTTGCTGTTTTTAAGTATGGGCTTTTTCTTACCAGTATTTAACTTTGATGTGCTTAGTTTGACCCTTCTTTTATTTGAAGGTGGCAACTATGGAGGTGGTCCTGGCTATGGCAGCAGAGGAGGATACGGTGGTGGCGGAGGACCAGGATATGGAAACCCAGGTGGTGGATATGGAGGTGGAGGAGGAGGATATGATGGCTACAATGAAGGAGGAAATTTTGGTGGTGGTAAGATGCCAGCTCTAGCCATCTTTTTTTTTTTTTTTTTTTGGTCAGGTCTTAGTTGTACAACACCTGAAATATAATAATACCTAAGAGGACTTGTACAGTTAGGTCTTAACAGAGAAGATGATGTAACATAAAGTTCTCTCCCATCTGGATAAGCTTTGATTTAACTATACAGCATTGTTTCCCCTGAAAATTGTATTTCAAGAAGCAGTAGCTGTAAATATGCAAGTTTGGAGGTGGAGTAGGAGAAAAGGGAAAAACTTTACTAATAGCAAGAGGAAGGATTTCCCCTGACTCTACCCAGCCCAATTCAGACTAGAGTGTGAAGTTATCACGTAGGTTTCTATTTTAACTTTTCACTGTTTGAAAAGCACTGTTGCTGTCAGTTATCAGTTTATGCCCTCTGGATCATGTTTGCCTTAGTGACTTGAAACTTGTGCAAGGGTGTTTTTTTTTTGTTTTTTTAAACTGTTTTCTTGTGAAATGAGCAACTCCAATTGTATTTATAAAAGCAGTTCTTTTGCTGTGACCAGGCTGTATCTGACTAAACTCGCATTAAACTTTTAGGACATATTCTATAAAGAATTAGGTAACTTTTGTGTATTTTTAAGACTACTATTCTTATTTGCTGTGCAAAGCTTGTATGTATGGCCTACAGATTAAAAGGAGGTAATTTAGAATGCTAACGACCATAGTTGACATGTCCAACTTTGGATGATGCAATGTTACGTAATGCGCTGGAATAAAGGCCAAGACTACGTTAACAGAATTTCACTACTAAAGATGTCATTCATGGATGATGGAAAAACCCTTGTAGAGCAGTGGAATGGCTCAACCCTCAATTCTTGAACACCAATTACTTAGACTAATAGAAGACTGCATTATAGTAATACTGTTTTACAGCATTACCTAGAGTAAATCCTTTGATAAATGTGATTTAATTTGATTAACATCTTCCGTTTTAATATCTAACCAAAATAGAGCTAGCTGTGTCCTGTTGAGAAATCAGTTTAGTAGTATTCGTGTTCTTTGTTAGTGTTACACTTCCCTGAATGATGTTCCGAACTGCATGGTTAATTCTTAAACTTGGAGCAACTTTTGTGGAGGCCTCTTATGACCGACGTGATGTTTCTGATCAGGGTATCCCACAACTACAAAACCAGCTTAGAATCTTTTCATCTGAAATGGTTGGGGAAGGAGTACTAAGAATTTGCAAGGGCTAGTGCAGGTTTGGGGAGTTAATCTGATACAAAATCTGCTGAATACTAATTTATTCCCTCTGATGTGTGTGTGTTCAGTATTCCCCTGACAGTTCTATTACTTTTGAGAGCGAATAAATTGTGTGTTTGGTTTGTAGTTTGCATTATTGTCATACACACAAAGCACGAGGCAGTGGAAGAATGGCGGTGAAACTCATGTCCTTTGCAGAGTTTAGAGGCAATCGTTAAATTTGGCCTACTGTGTTAACTCCAAATTACCTATTCAAATTGCTTTAAGTTTTCTGATATATTCTGGTATTTTTTCACTTTCAATGAAGTACCTGTTTCTAATCTTGAAAGTGCTAAGGACTTCTCCTCATGGGTGCATTGTGAGCAGCGGTGGCAAGCAAAATGTTTGCAATTCTATTTTAGGTTGTTTTAAATAGCTGTTGAAATTTATGTTGAATCCATAAGTTGACAAGCTTCGTTTCCAAGTATCGAACACAAGTGGGTTTATAAATCTGCATTTGTTTCAGGTAATTACGGTGGCAGTGGAAACTACAATGATTTTGGCAATTACAGTGGACAGCAACAATCTAACTATGGTCCCATGAAAGGTGGTGGCAGCTTTGGTGGCCGAAGTTCGGGCAGTCCCTATGGTGGTGAATATACTTTGTATTGAAAATATTTTTGTTTAAACTTTCCTATTCATATTATTTTAATATATGCACTTTTTTTGTAGGTGGTTATGGATCTGGGAGTGGAAGTGGGGGCTATGGTGGTAGAAGATTTTAAAAATGCTACCGAAAAAGGGTAGGTGTAATACATATTTATAATGATGATGAATAATGTACAACTGTTCACTGAGAGTAATAATTTTCTTATCCTGTATTCAACAGGCTACAGTTCTTAGCAGGAGAGAGAGCGAGGAGTTGTCAGGAAAGCTGCAGGTTACTTTGAGACAGTCGTCCCAAATGCATTAGAGGAACTGTAAAATCTGCCACAGAAGGAACGATGATCCATAGTCAGAAAAGTTACCGCAGCTTAAACAGGAAACCCTTCTTGTTCAGGACTGTCATAGCCACAGTTTGCAAAAAGTGCAGCTATTGATTAATGCAATGTAGTGTCGATTAGATGTACATTCCTGAGGTCTTTATCTGTTGTAGCTTTGTCTTTCTTTTTTCTTTTTATTTTCCCATTACATCAGGTATATTGCCCTGTAAATTGTGGTAGTGGTACCAGGAATAAACAAATTAAGGAATTTTTAACTTTTCAATATTTGTGTAGTTCAGTTTTTCCACATTTAGTACAGAGAATTCTATAACAGAAATAAAATGTAGTTTAGGGTGTTTCCTTGTTAGTTAATAGAGAGGATTAATGCATTTCTCAATTACTATTTTGTATTAATTTAAAGTTAACAATAGAAACACCTATTGATTTGCAGTCTTAAGGGGTCTAGTCTCAGTGTATATATGTAACTGTCATTGACATGAGTTACATAGGCATACAGAGGGAAAACATCTGTATGTTGCATTATAGTTTGTTTAGATGTATAACTAGGATTGAGTTATTCAAATTAGTGTTTGTGAATTATAGAACTAAGCTTTACCTTCAAATGAAAATTTCAAATTACTTTTGGTTTGTGCATATTTTTTTAATTTGTAGTTCTGTATTAGTACTAGCGCTTCAAGAAAATAAGGCATGATAAATATTTTAACAAGACCAACTTTAGCCACATTCAAGCTGTCTCCAGTCTCATTTGAGATGTATAAGGGATAACTGCAGTCGCTCAAGTTTTGGGTGAAGAAAAAAAGAAACTTGCTTCTTATCTTTTTATTTATTGTAATTCCCGAGAATTTAAAGGGGGGGGGGAAATCAAGTGCCTGTTTCCTTGGGATATACAATGATTCTGTTGAATAAAACTACACTGTGGGGAGGGTGGCTTGGAATTTCAATCTCCTTCCCCTTCGTTTCTCCCCATTTCCCTCTCCCTCACACCAGACTGCACTGTTTCAATTAAAAGAGGCGTCATAGTGAGAGTAATAGGTATGTTCCAAAATAACTTAATGGCTATATACTTTCTTGCATGCACCCTAGGCAATTTTCTGGACACATTCATCTGACTGGGAGCCAAGGGTAGCACAGGTGTAATCACTGACAGTCCCAGGTAATGCGTTCCAAAAGCCCATTCACGATGGGCTAAGTAGTATAGTTCTCAAGCTTTTTCCCTTGCGAGTATCTAAGCTCAGATAAGAGCTTGAAGATCAGAAGAAAACACAACCTAGTTTGTATTTTACTGACAAGAAGCACTTCCCACGATAGAGAACAAAACATGGTACAGTCTTAAGTTTCCATAGGTAAAACGACAGTGTGTTACAATTTGATTTGATACACTGGAGTAGCAAATCTTATCAGCACATGTGGCTAGAAATTGTACTAAATTTGCATTTCTGACTTACAAATTAAGGTGCTGCAATCTGTCCTTTTCTCACCTGATTTGACTTCTCTCTCAACTATTGCCAGGACAGTGCTTTCTGTCAATTCAGACTCAGAAGAGTAGGGACACAGTCAATAGAAGAAATACTCAAACACTTGACAATATGTGGTATTGGAATTATTCTCACATGTTTCACTTCTGGGTCAATGTGCAGTATAAGGTAAATGCAATTCCAGTGTAGGAATGAATCTGCAAAGATGTATGAAATGGCTCAAGTCATAATCAGTCATATTAATGAATTATAATTTTAAGTAGTAGAAAAATGAGTGTGTTGTTGAAAAAATTAAACAATGTTATTGAAACACTGTTACTGGAGTGTATTTAGACTGCAGATATACTAAAACAAGGAACCGCTGTCAAGATTGGTAGACTCCAAACTGAATTTCAAAGTCTGCTTATTCTTTTTTTTGTGGAATTTTTAAAAATATCTAACTTAAAAGCAAGAACTGGTGATTTAGTGAACACTTTTGTTATTGTACATATTTATTAAGTTGGGCTTGGGTGGGGGGGGGGAGGTTGTATTTAAATAAAGGCTTTTTTTAAACAACCCCTTTGGAGTTTGAAAACACATCAAAACTTTAAAAGACATCTCACTAGGGAGTGAGCCACCTAATCACTGACTTGCTTTGTACATTACTACACTTAGGAGAAGTGTAGATTTGCAACTGGGGCCTGCATCTGATTGCAGGGACAACTGGAGGATGGGGTTGATGTCCCTTCTGAAAATTGATCTGATATTTCTAAATTTCTTAGAATGTATTGACAGTGTTCTTTTTAACAGGGCCTCTTGTAGCTGTACTGTGACAACAATGTTAACTTTGAAAAATAGTGTCATAATAAACTTTATGAACAAGATCTGTATGCAACCTTTTAAGAGATGGAGTCTGTAAGTGACCACTTTGTAGGTGGGTGGGATAGCTTAGCTGCTGTTTGTGATGTGGAAAAGTGTAAGCTGTAAGGACAGTGATTAACCAGCTTTAAAGAACCTAGGATGTACTTCTTTGATCCATACTTTGCTAAGGAGACTCATAAGACAGGACTTCAGCAGCCTATTGAGTATGGAGAAGTCAGCATAATTAAAGAATGACAAGGCAGCAGGAGCAACAGCTTCAACTCCAGAAAAGTGAAGGCATAAGATACTGTGCTGATAGTAAGCAGCTTTCCAAAGCTAGTTAAATCTGCTTATCACAGCTGAAATATCGAAGAAAGTCTAGCAAGAGTTCTTCACCTCTTGGAACCTCCTTGAGTGATAGCTACTTGAGTTGACTCAAAATCAATAGGTCTAGCATTTAGACCTGAAAGGAAGGGCAATGAGCATAGGTAAGGTTTGCCTTTAAAATTTTTCATGAATTAAAAAGAGTAGTGGGAGACTTTTTAACAAGGTAAGAGTAATTTTTTTAATTTTCAGGTTGAATGAGAAGCTGCTGATTGACAAAATGGGGAATGTCTTGCACATCCTCTTCAATTGGAGGTTTCTGACTGGGTAAGATTTGTAGTGCTTAGTAAAACACTTGTTTAACCCTTGTTTCCTTCTAGGCTTTCCTTTACCAGCCTCTTTAACATCAAGGAAAGCCTTAAGTATTAAGCAAGTATTGAAGCATATGTCACCCAGTAATTCCTGGTCTGAATCAGGCTTGTTTGCTGATACAATCTGTGTTCAAGAATCTTGCATTCCTGACAGGTACAAAGTTGCTGTGTGTCTGAGATTAACAAAATAGAAATACGTGCTTTGAAATAAATGCTGTAGTTACACTGAGGAGTGTACAGTCAGTTTTTGAGAAGTTGTTCATTAACTTGTAATAAAGATGGAAGTCTTTTTTTTTAAAAAAAAAAAAAAAAAGCCTGACATTAAAAGGTTAAGACTCTTCAGCTCTTCTTCATGCTTCACAGGAGTGTGTAATGTAGTGATTCTGCAATAATTCAGTAAAAAACATCTTGCACTGATTCGAACAGTGATTTGTCCAATAACAAATGAATCTTGGCTTGCCAAGTGATTCCCTTTCAGGTTTCTGGTGCTTTCAGGGTGGGTTAGCACAGGCTAATACTGTAAAGTGATACCTAGCTGAAAGCTGAACTTTTCAATTGGATGACTAGCAATAAAGTAATTTTTCATGGAATCTGCTTTTATGCACATGGATTCTTAACTCTGGAAACATATTTTCGTGTTCTGCATCTTACAGGTTGTTATGGGTATAGAATATGTTTTTAACTCTTTCTGTCTAGTAGTCTAGTACTTAAACTATGTTTTTCAGTCTTTGTAGTATTTTTGTGAAGTCAGTTTCCTTTTTGTGTTGATTATGCTTAAGTTACTCTGAAAATAAAGTCAAATGGAATATGCTTGTGCATTTCAGTTTAACTTAAGGCTTAGGTATGTTCAGAGTGATGCCAGCATTTAAACTTGTCATTTGCTATCTCTAAAACAGCTAGAAAGCAAACTTTTGACACTGCAACATGTACAATTAAAAGTTAGCTGATGTAATTTACATTGGCAAGGTAGAGACTAGAGATAATTAGGATGTTCTTATGAAATGGAAATCTCACAGTGACTATATATATATTTTTTTTTTAAAGTGACTTTTTCTTAGATGAGGCTGAGCCAAAATTAAACTGCTGCAGGGAGGTCACGGTCTTGTCTTAATACATTACACTAGATACCTTATTTAGGTGACTAGCTTTGCTTTTCCTCTGCAATGCAGATACATAGGGCTATTGAGAACATAAACTCTGGCCTATAAAAATATAACTGAGGTTTTTTTATAGTAGCTGCTATTGAGAAGAGAGATGTAAACTTACAGAGCCTTGGTCCCTAAGCTGCAGTTCTACAGAAATTTATTCAGTACTTAAAGGTGTTTGTTAACTTGAAAGCAAGTGTTATTTCTGGTAGTAAATATATCTTTCTCCAAAAGATGCAGATCTGATAAATGTTTTGCCGTTAGAAAACATTGAAATTGAACAATTATCTTAACTTGGATAGCCTTTAAATATTGTAAGGTGGGAAGGGGGATGCTCCTAGCCTTTCAAGTCTTGATTTTGTGATATATTGACTTGCTATCTTTGGTTCTTGTATTTGGGAGATGAACGTGTATTGCTATACTATCATCAACACTGCGCTGGAATATTAACTTACATATCAGTCTGATCTCTGACAAATATTTGTATTTTAACTTGTGTGGCGCATGAAAGATCTTGAATATCACTAAACTTCAGATATCTGATGGATGATTCTTTTTCTACTGTGGGTGCTACAGGTTGACATCTCTATCTAAGATTAGCTTTTTCCTGAACTAAAGTAATCCAAGTATCTCCATAGAAGAAAAATGGCCTTCATGTAGAAGATAATATCGCAAGATTGGAAACAGAATAATATATTAAAATAACTGGCAAAGACTTCAAGAGCAATGGTGCTAGTGTGGTGAAATCTTAATACTTGTGGTTAAACAAGTTTAAAAATAGCATGGATATTAAGAACTTCAGTATAGTCCATAATGGATTGAAATTTGTTAAAATATTTCATTTTTGTATCAGAATAAAGTGTATATTGTCAATTGACTTTACAACCTGAAATGTGTTGTCATCACCTTTTTTTTTTTTAGTGCTGCGAGGAGCACAAAGAGGTCTTAAATTATTACCACAAACTGAGTAATAGGGTCATCTTTCCAACTCAGGACTGTCAGTCAGAAGTTATCTTGGTTCAGCCCAATGCCTGGACTTTAGTTTTAACATCTTTGCAACTGAAGGTTTCATCAACATGTGAATCATCTCCATATGGAGCCTTGTCAGTGTACAAGGTCAGGACTATGATGCATTAGAATTCATAGGAGAACTTTGCAGTGTCGCTAGTCATTCCCAGGTTGGGTGTTTTCATATGTACTGAAATCATCTATTGTAGAATACTCTTTTCCTTCATTTTGTTGGGTATTTCATTGCAAGTATACAACCATCATTGTGTTCATGATATGAAAATACTGGTTTAAACTGTGAATGCAAGTTGTAATGGTGTGAGTTACTTCAGAATGATTCTTTGATGGAATCCAAACGGGGCTTGTTTGCTGTGTTAACTTTTTTGTTGGTTTTTATTTTTTAACTGCTTTTCTTATCCTGGTAACAGAATCTGTTTTCCCTATGTTTGGTTTTAGAAATGTAGGTTGTATAGTACAACAAACCCCTGCAAAGGTTGTAAGGGCTTTGCCTAGAGCTTTTGCTTTAGGATTAAAGGACGGACCCAATTAAAATGGGGGCCTCTGAGGTCTCTATTCTATAGCTAATTTGTGATTAAAATTATCTTGCATCTAGATAGACCATTTCCTTCACAAACCAGAGATGTTTATTTCCTATTAATTAGGCTATCAAAGTCAGGAGCTTTGCATTTTTAGGTTTTTTTTTTTAATGCTATACCATCAAACTAGCCTGTGTAGTAGAGCTACTTAATCAGTCTTGAAAGACAGCTCAGGACCATAGCTCAGTGTGCTTCCTCCATAATACTTAGGCCCTAAAACTGCCATCCTTAGGGATGACTTAGATCCTCTTGCTTAAGAAGGCACCAAAATCTCACGTTCCTCTACTGTTTCAACAAGGGTTGACCCTCCTTAAGAGTGTTCTCATTCCTAGGCAGTATTGGGGGCAAACCTGTTTGAGGTCTCTTTGTACAATGGCAAGAAAAGCATCACTCACAGTGCAGCAGTATCTCTGATTTAGCTGATCTGGTACCTGGCCTCCTCCATGGAGCAAATAAACCTGCTTCATCAGTCGAATCCAGCCCCTGGCACTTGAACCACAGCTATTGACCATTTGCTACAGAAAGAGTAGTCCTCTTGCATTCAGAATGTGGCAGTTCTGTATCTTATAATCTCAAGGATTGTACAGTGCAATGGACTGACATGTTAATAAGGAAGGAGATTGGCATAAACAAGGTAAGTAGCCTGCGAGTGCAAGTTGCATCACCTGGATTTCCATTTTCCAATAAATATTTTCTGCAAGAACATAAATGTGACTGCTTAAAGTAGCAGGGTCAAGTAGCAGGGTTCCTCATATTTCTAGGTATGTTGGCGATCTGAGGATAGTTTTGCAAGCAACTGAGGTGACTAGTATCCATCTGTTGCAAAATGAGAGAAGTCTCTCTTCCCTGTTGCTGTTTTGTTGCATAAGCTTGCATTTGTTGCAGTACTTATGCAAAAGGACTGACTGCTTTCTTCTTCTAGGGTAGTTTACTGCAGTTAGTAAGTTGAATCAGCTTACAGAAGCATCTTAACCAACTACGATTACTGCAAGGTTGAGAATGTTCAGCCACGAGGTGATAGTGGAGAGGAGAGTGAGGGAAGCCAGTTCTTCCCCTTTTGGTAGTGGTGAGCTGCTAAATCCCCTCAAGTTGTCTCATGGAACCGCATCCTGCAGAAGCATTTTGCAAATGGTTCACTTTTTACGTGATACAAGAAATTGCCGCATCAAATGTCCACTGATCAGGTTGGAAAGTCTAATCAGAACACACCAAGGCCTTTCTAGGGTCTGGTTGCTTTGTGGCCTTGCAGGTTAAAATGAGAGCATCCTGCCCACAGGAGACTGTAGATGCAGTAATGGCATGTAAGTACAATTACCCAGGGCTTAATAGCTTTCATTTCTGTAAAATGAAAAAATCAAGATCTCCTTTTTCAGTGATGCTATGCTATTCTTTCACTGTGTTGTAGAGGGGACTGAAACTTATGATAGATACAGTATTGGTTTTTTAGCCTCAAGTTTTGAACTATTCACAGGTGCTTTGGAGAATGCATTATTTATGAAAAGGGAAAGAATAATTGAAAGAGTGGAAACTACTACTGTTTTTGCCCAAGGCTACTCTTCCCATTGCCTGCAGTTTTCAAAGACCTTAGATACCACTAATCATTGTTCCTTAAAAGAAGTTTTGGACTGTCTTAGCTAACACATTGGATCAAGGTGCGTTGCAGCAGCAGTACTTGGATTTGAATGATCCTAATACAATGGCAAAGCTGAACTTAGGTTAATCTCATGAATGGTACTGCCAGTTTTGATAGTGTAACAGTGACTCTCCAGATTCTTTTTTTTTTTTTTTTGTTTAAAGAGATTTGTGCACTGACGGGTGAGAAACTCAATTTTATCTGACTTTTCTTTTTTCTTGTACTTATTTACCCCTTCACATCTTCCTCTATCTGCTGGCTTGGATATAAACATTTTGTGGGGCAGGATTTCACTTTTGAAAGTGTGTGCAAGTAAAACAATAAGAAAAGTTATCTGAAAGATAAGTACGTTATGTGAAGCTGTTGCCTATGCTCAGGAGCTCTCTCCTGGGTGGAAGGGCTGGAGCAGCTGAAAGCCCAGTTTTAGGCAACAAATGCTTTCTGCTGGTACTAGCGCTTAGCCATCGGTTTGCCTTTTAAAGAGGATATAGGCAAATAAGATAGCAGTTCCTACAGCACCACACAGCCTTGGGGCAAAACTACCTTCTTGATAAAGCTCTTATTACATAATGATGGCCTCCTCTTTATCCTACTCTTCTCTGGTTAGCTATTTATTGATGAAATGCAATGGAGAGTGCATGTGTATGACAGATACTACAGTGGGAGGCCTCTGTTATTCAGAACCTGCGTAAATGTGTCAGGACAGGAGCATGAGTGACAAAGTGATGAAGACGAGATTCTGTAGAATCATTCAGGATACTGAAAACAAAAGCTGATTGTGAAAAGTTGCCCTGATGCTACTGTGACCAACTGGGCAATAAAATAGCATGTGCAGTCCAGTGCATACAGGGAAAACCATTCAGGAAAGAAGTCTTCAGAGTTGTGGAGCCAGTTGTATGAAAACAGTAGCTCAATGCTCAGGAATTGTCAAAAATGTAGATACAATGTTAAGAGTTATTTAAAAAAAAAAGAAGAAGAAGAAAACAATATGCAGTTTGGAGAAGTCCCTTGAGCATCTACATTTTGACTACAGCATGCGGTTCTCAGCACACATTCTAAATTTAGAACTGGGAAGGTACTAAAATCAGATTTTCTAAAGAACAACTCATGGCATTCAGAGGAGGCAAAAAATAGGATAGAGCAAGGACCTGACAGTGGTAAACATGAAGGCAGTGGAGGTATAAGCAGGACTTAACCCATGAAAGAAGAGTCTGTAGGTTTCAAACAGAGCTACTTTCTCATGGCCTAAGTAGCTAAACTGCAGGCTGCATTACTACAGGAAGTGAGCCCAGCAATATAAATGTGTTCACAAATGGTTAGGCAAATTTATCAGAAATCCCAGCAAGGCCTATTTAACAAAAAAATATGAGTATAGCCATGCTTGAGAAGTCCCTCAACTGCATGCTGTTGGAAACTAATGGGTGTACAATGGAAAGGTCAACTATCTAGATGCGTATGTTCTTCTGCCCTTCCTAGTAGGGTAAATTAGTCTGTACAAGCTTTGGTACATTTGAAGCAGCTTATGTATTACTGTGTTGTATGGAACTGTGCAGATATGTGCTGAACTAAATTTTACCAAGCCTACAGCCAGGGGTCAGGAGCGTGGGATTGACATGCCCTGCTGTGCCTTAGAGGTACAGCACAGAAGGCTCAACTTTTGTTGTAACAGAAATTCAAGGCACCAGTTAAGGGCTTACAAAGCATTTATCAGGCTCTTGGCCGCTAAATTAGTATTTTAAAACCCATTTCAACAATTACAAGTTTATCCTGAATTAGTTCTTTGCTCCTTGTCTTGAGTGTTTCCAGGGCAGCTACTGCTGGAATAATGTTCATGAAAATCATGGCGCTCTGTACTAAATCCCTACCCTTCCCCTTAACTTTTTTTTTTTTTTTAAATCTCTGAAGACACTCAGAACACTTACAAGAGTCACAAAAAGTGATCTAATCCATATTAGGATTATGATAATTTAAATTGTTTTGCATTTTATGGACATATCCTGCTAGCTATTCAACTGCAGCATGGCTAAAAACAGTTCAGGACAAACTTCAGGAGTGTGAATTCACCAACAACCATTTTGTTTAGTGTTACTCAAACTTGTTTTGTGAACAAGAAGTTATGGAAGTCTGGTTTCCTAATCTGGGACCCCTCCTTTAAACCCTTTTTCCTACACTATTAACATAGTCTTTCTGGATACTTCACTACCCTTCTGAAGTATGTCCAGCCCCTTCTTTTATCTCATTTCCCTACCCCTTCCCCAACATGTTTTGCTAGGTGAAAGATAGCATATTTTGCCCCTGGTTCGTACTGTGCATGCACTGACTGGCTGACCGATATGCACAGTCTGGCTGGGCACCAGCCACTAATTTTTTTCAACTGCAGGAGGGCAAAGCTCTGCCTACTTCACATTTAGGGAAAGCCCTAATTTTGGTCTCTTCATCTGCTTCCCTCCCAGTTTTCAAAAAAATCATACAAACGTAACATCTCTGAGACCGTGAGCCTTGCCATGTGCTCAGTGGAGCACTGAGGTCCAGTGAAAAAGACGGGGCTGATGGATTCCATTAAGCTTTTCCTTAGAAAACCAGGCTACGTTATCTTTTTTGAAAAGAATGTACAATAGGTATTGAAAATTTGCAGAATAACTGAGCATTTATTACACTAAATGAAGTTATGCATAATATTCTAAGATAGGAAATATTCCTAAAATGATTTAGAGTACCAGTGGCAGAAAAAAAAATCAGATTTAAGATTAAATGTGCCAGCTAGAAGCTTCACAGGGAAGATAAAGGAAGATGAGGGTTTTTTTTTTTTTTTTTTTTTTACTGTTCAGATCACTGTGTCACCGTAAAGAAACACTGCAGAAGTCTTTCAAATTACAAATTATGTTTTCTATACTTACATAAAATCCTCTATGATCAAGTACAATGAATCCTTTGAAGAGTAAACAAAAAAATTCTATTTATTTGCCCCAATTTTTATTCTCTTACAAATCATAATTTCAAATTCTGCAACGCTTTTCAATTAATTGAGCACAGGTCCCAGATCGTGCAGTTAGTTGACAGTATGTCGTCTTCTTCTATAACCTCAAAAGTAATAGCAGTGACAAATGATGCTCATTGATCAGAGATGCATAGTGCATTTCTGGAACAATTAGTGAGAAGTACACAGAATTTTTAGTTGGAAAAAATGCATGGTGCTGCTGATGTTTTAATTAACAGATTTTAAATGCCTTTGGAGAAAAGATCCCATCATGAGTTTAAGTAGTGCTCAAAGAGTAAAACAAAAATTGTTATGTAAACTTAGCATAGACTTGAAACTTACTTAAATTTGTGTTACGCTGTCCTTCCAAAGGCAGTTAAAATTATGATGAACTAAGGAGCAATAATGCTGACGATGCTGTGTGATACATCTCTGATTATTAGCATATTTGTTGCATGAAGACTTGTCCTTGGAAAATTAGTGAGGATGTCTGAATCAGCAAACAACCTACTTTAGGGAAATAAATGTGTATGAAGTACAGTTTAAAAAAAATTTAATGAACTTTAAAACAAATCAAGATCATACTTTGTCAACTTTTATCCTAAATTATATATTAAATATAAAGCAAGTATAAAAATATAAGAAAAACGGGAGATAAACATTATTGCATATTTATAAAAAAAGGTATCAGAAGCCATACTGTTTGTCTTGCAAGAAATTATATTTAGAAGGCTAAAATCATTTATATATATATATATATATATATCTCAAATCTATGAATATAACAAGAGATAGGAACAGTATATAAATATGGTATCTTTAAATATTTACATGTATATGGAAACTAGTCAAAGTGGTACTATAAGAAGGAAACGTCTGTTATAAAAGTGAGATTACAAATTTTGCATACATACATCTGCATTACACTATTAGTTTTAAACCTGCATCTTCCATAAACTAGTTATTAACTTTAGAATTACTGTTGCATAGAATGATTTGAAAAATACTACCTAATTCTGCATTCCACCTCACAGTAAAATCTGCCTGGATAATGGTACAAAAATAACTTGACGAACACTAGCCAGCTGTGCTGCCCTTCAGAATTTAGTCTCTGACTTTTTGCTTTTAGGAACAAGAAAGACATTACCATCTCTAGTTTGCTGCAGTGAATATTCAGTAGGAGAGTAAGACTTTCCATCTTCATCACGTAGCATGCTGAAAACCTCAAGATATAAGGTGGTAAGTTGCTTTTTCATTTGACAAAGGCTTTTGTCATTCTCTCCTTTTTCTTTAAGCAATTTCTCTTTCTCATCTTTTAGGTTACTCAAATCTTGCTCCAGTTCCACTATAATATCCAGTTTTCTTTTACGGCAGTTTTGCGCAGCCACTTTATTCTTGCCTCTCCTGCGTATATCTCGAATAAGTGCAAGCTGGGCTTCACTGAACTGCTCCTTAGACATCATTTCATTGAAGTCATCAACAGGGAGATTGATGATTTTTTCCACAGGGAAAGGGATCTGCAGAGCTTTTGCTCTTTGCTCATCTCTTGTGAGATGAGCTTCAAGGCGGCTGGAAGGTTTATCTTTTGTGAATGGAGCTTTAGGGTGGCCTGGACTGGCAGGTGGTTCTTTCTTTGGTGTGTTTGCACGCTGCAAACTAGGGGTTTGAGTGCTTGGCCCCAAGGAAGAAAGCACATGATCGTGAAATTGCAATGAATACATGTTTGCATTGCTCTGAGGCACGCTTCCAGGAGCGCTGTCCATGTCTTCCATTTCAGAATCACTACAACCAAAAGTCTTATCTCCATACACCGATGACTCAACAGAGTGCTCAGGCGATGCTACACTAGAACTTGCATTCAATGAAATACCAGAGTCAGAATCGTTACATTCTGGTACAGTTCCTGAGTGGTCACCATTAAAAGCTTTACACAGCGAGAAATCAGAAAGATCAATAGGTTCACTTAGAATATCTGCAAGTGACTGACTGATAGTGTTTGTCGTGGCAGTGTCACTGTCTGCCTTTGTATCAATGAAGGTGGCATAGAAATCCTCACAGAAATCAGAGCCTGAAGTGGACGTGCTATTTAAAGAGTTCCCACTCAGCTGGCTGGTGTCTTCTGGTAGCAAAATGCTGGAAAAAGGACCCTCAATACTATTCAGGAAATCTGGACCACAGTTAACATCTTTTCTCATCATGGATAAAGAGTTGTAGTAATTATAGCTGTTGTGCATCTCTGTTGGCTTCGTTTCAGGGCTTGTGATTGTGCTTACCTCAGCCAGGTTATCATTTTCAATGTTAAGACACTGCATGAGAAACGTAAGACAAAAGTTCAGCAACACCTCACTAATTGGTAACAAAATCTTTTTATATAATCCACAAACATTAAATATTTTAGCAAATCAACATGCACCTAAAATGGGTATCGTAATGTTGCTCCAACCTAGATTACTGCAACGCAATTTTACTATGGAGAGGCAACCTAGGGAGGAGACTAGACACCTAAAGTAACTTGTTCTGGACGAAGCTACTTAGATCAAGCCAGCAGAGCCTGTCAGTCATAAGAAGATCCTGAAGACCCGTTCCAACACACACTGCTATATGGAAATCTCATGGAGCCCTCCTGTTCTACTAAACTGCTACTAGGGATCATGGAGCTCTCACAAGCACCACTGCTAATAATAGTATCAATACAGTAAGTGTAACATTATTGAATGTGATTTACTGAGCATTACTAGCAAACAATTTTTCTCAGCAATCTTTAATTTTGTATCATGAGACAAAAGAATCTCATCTTTTGAAGAAATTTAGAAACTGCTGAATGAAACAGCTGTTTTGTGCCGGGAAATGTAATTCTCGGAAGAGTACTAACGTTAAGTCTTACAAACATTAACTCACCCCACCTACTTTTAGTTAAGCTGGCTAACATCAGCATAAGTGCCTAAAACTGTTACACGGATGGGCTTTCATTGGCTACAAGACCAATGATCTTTCCAACAGGGTGGCAGTATCTTAACTGAAGCTGAAATAAGTGTGCCTGCTGTCCCCACAGAATTAGGTAATTACCAAAATGAATCCGTTTCTCTTTAGAAGGGACCACACACTGATTATTTAAATGGAGATCACACAAGGCTTAAGATAAGATTTTAGAGGTAAGAGTTCCTTCTTTTCTTCAAATATAATTCATAGAAAGAAGATACCCTCAATTTAATTATCTCACTTCTTTTCAGAACACTATTTAAATACTATTCAGAATTACTGCAACAGATGATTTTCTTTTTGTTTTATATTTACAGCTTCACTGCTGCCTCTTCACAGTCAACTTGTCCTTGTATGAGATTTTTAACCCTACCACAGCAGTAAAGATTAGAAAAATAGGAAAAATTTTGAAAAATACAAAGAATAAGGAAAAGAGTACAACAACAGGAAAGATGCAGTCCCCCCCCCTCGTCTTTTTTTTTTTTTTTTTTAAATACGATTTAGATTGACAGGTGTTCCACCAAGCATTCATCTCTTGTGTTAACAGCATCAAGTAAAGCAACATCATGCTGCAGCACCACAATGTTTTACGAAGATATATGGGAAAATAAATCTGTTCAATTTTATAGTCAATCTAAGTAAAATATAAATAAAATCATAATAAAGATAGTTAAAAAAAATCAAAATAGATTCCCTTTGTCATGCACAATTTAGGAATATAGGAAAATGATTTTTTTAGCCTGCTCCTTGGAAATACTCAGTTTGTGTACATTACACAATTAGTTCTTACTGAACATATATAAACACTAGTTAAATAGAAGAGGCGGGTATAGTTACAACCCTATATATAATGTGCTGGTTTTTACAAAATCCTTTTCCCCAGCCAAGAATTGGATACAAAATCTAAATGACAGTAACCAAAAGTAATTTACACAATCTAATTAAACACTGTCAAAAATACATTTACTATTGGAAACAACATGGAAACAACTCCTGTTGTTACAGGATCCATAATTCAGAAGTACCCAGTATTTTTTATTCATCTGGAACTTCAGTCATGATAATGCTGTAACATTGTACGTAACAGGCTGCACACAGATGCAAATAATAATGTAATAAACTTGGGGAAGCTCTGGTTGGAAAGAGACTGTTTTACTATGACATTCTGACAGAGAATCAGCTTCCTTTCTCCTATGTATTCTTCAGTTTAATTTAAAAAAATAAAGCCAATATTGATTTATAGACGTCCTACAGGTAGTACCCTAATGTGGTAGTCATAATCACCATCTGTTAAAATACTATTGTACCACACACTCTGCAATACCATGCTTTCCCAGAATATCATGCTACTATTTTCAGGTGCTTATCATATTAACCCTTTACCTGTAACTCTGGAAGGGACAATAATTCTTCCCAAACTTGCTCTATGTTCTGCATATTCTCTGCATCAGTAAGTGGAACTAAAACAGGTGATTCAGGTGGCTGAGTTTGATTAGAAGACATGAAGATTTGGTTACTATCCATCTGAGCAGGAACCAGTGACTGAAAGGCAGCAGACGAAACCTGCAGTATTTAAAAAAGTAGAAACAGGTTAGAACTGTCTAAAGCAAAAATCTGTTCTTTGTGTTCTACCATTTCAGCAAAACAAGCAGACAGGCGCTTCTTAATAAAAGCATTTCTTGTCAATAGTTGGATAATATAGAAATATTCCCACGAAAGGAGTTTTCATATTAAGGAAAGAAACAGGAAAAAAGCCACTCATTGACTGGTGAAGGGTTCATCTTTACCACAGAAAATAGTCTGGGCCAGTACGCTGAAGTAAAGTGACTCAAATATACCAGCTGAACTATGCAAGTGACCAAACTCCAAAACTCCACTCCTGCTACTTGTAGTAACTGGAATTATTGCCATCAGTTGTCATAAACTGAATCCTGACTGCATTACTAGGGTAAGCACAAGGAAGACAAGGGCACCACACCACCCACACCTGATACAGCCCTAGTTTAAGTCTCCTACAATGCTTTATTCCAGTTGGGAGTTGGCGTGGGGACAAAGCTGAAGTCCCATCAAAAGTTAATAGCACAGTGATGACAAATCTTAATAAGAAAGAAGACTGATCCCCTAAATGGGCACCCATGAAACTGAGCATTTACCTCATTGTCATCTATAAACGGGAACGCTTCTGCCAAGAGCTGCATGCAGTCATCAAAGGACAAGGCTTCTGTTTCTGGTTTTGAAGTATGTGTGTTCTAAATAGGAAAGTGATGGGAAAAAATATTACTGCATCTTTGAATAACTGAAGAATCTTCCATTACAGCAATGAATGCAAATTAATTGTAGGTAACCACTAGCATTATGTCTTCCTGTGAAAGGAAAGAGGTTTGAAAACACTCACAAATACATACAAGAGTTTACCTGTGAAAAACTGCTTGGTGGCTCAGTATTTTGTGACTCAACACGCTGAGCTGGCTGAATTGGAACAAATTCACCTGTTTCTTCGTCTAACTGCAGCTGAGCCAGCAAGGCTTTCTCCTGCTCTTTTTGGAGCTGCTCTTGTCTTTCCTTTTCAAGTTTCTTCTGTTTCTCAAGTTCATACTCCTTTTGCCGTTGACTAAAATCAAAAACTTCACGCCTTGCCCCAAGGTCTATATCTTGCCTCCAAAGGATGTCAATCAAGTTCATGTCCTGTAACAGAAGTGTTTTTTTAAAGCAAGCCTTCTTCCCAGCAAAACTGGTTTAGAACAATAACAAATCTTTTAAATTCTGTATTAAACAGGTAAATTCATGTAACTGAGGTTTAGTCTCTTAATCCTACCAAATTATCTAAATAAAACGTGGCTCTATGTGCCCCTTCTGAAGGGCATGAACGTCACGACGGTTTGCTTGCTGTGGCCCACGCAGGGGCTCACAGGAACTAAACAATTTGTCGTAATTAGTTAAGGTAACATATGAACCAGCCAGAGGATAAACATACTTTTCTTTCTTAAATTAGCTCATAGAAAACAAAAAGCCATATGAGGAATTATGGGACTTCTTTAAAAAAGTCATTTTTTCTTTAAGAGAAAAGAATAGAAATCAAAGGGTTGCTCATGTAAATTCTTTCAGTATGATCACATAAAACTGTAAAAGCTGCCTAAAAATATGGCATGGAGCCGGCTGAAGTAACTATAATAGCTATATTGCAAAATGCATTTTAAAATATTTATGTTCCATCACAGTATTCAGTATTAATCTTTACAGATTGGGAAGATAACCTTGTTTCAAAGTCACCAAGTGACATAACATCACTGTAGCACTAAACGCAATTATTAAGAACAATTACTAAAAATTTGTCATTTAAATCTTAGTCTAGGTTGTCATTCGAACATAAACTAATAGGTGTCAAATCTTGTTAATCAGTTGGGCTCTGGCTCATCACAGAGTTGGTCACTATCAGACTGCTAACAATGAGCTAACTTTCCTGGAAATCAGCTGTCCTTCGTATACTTAAATGCAGTTATAATGTTTCAGAACACAAAGTAACCTTTGCTGTCTAGGGAAACCCATCCAGTTGATATATCTTATCTGTCTACAGTTACTTTCAATTAACTGCACAAGGTTTTTTGTTTCGTTTTGCTTTTTACTTGTCCAAACATCCAGTATTTCTAAGCGCTGAAACTTGGACTATTTCCTTTTGAGCAGAAAATCTAACACTCAAAAGTCATCAATCAGGACGTTAGTTGACGGAGAATTTTAATACGCGGTGGCCATGCTTGTCAGATGGGTAAAAGCTGAACAAATCCTAGCTGGTGCCTGGGAGTTAAGAGTTTATGGTATGTTTCATTACTCCCAAAATTACCCTTTAGCAAGCAGTTCAAAAAGATCACTTCTCTGCAACATTTATGGCAAAAGGCTTTAGTGCGAGCCTGTGTTTGAACAAAGCAATTCAGTATTCTCATTTCTTCACTAAAAATTTTATACTATTAACATTCATATTTACATACTGCATGAACTAGTTGTATCAGTTACTAAAAAAAAAAATTACTTTTTTTTTTTAAATCAGGAAGTTACATAAAATATCTGCGTGTTCACACAATGCAGACGTTCACAAATCTAAGGCATATTTAATACACTTTGCTGGGAGAGACCAAACTCAGCTTTAACGGCCAGCAATGAAGAAACTGAAATAATTACAGTGGCTGCCCAAGACAATGTTTGGTCTTTCCAGATTGGCAGGGTAAAACGAACTAATTAGGTTCTGCAGTAATTGAAGATATTGCAATATGGTACAGCTTCATTAAGGGCCAGTAGTTTACCAGCTGCTCATTGTCTCCTTCTGCAGCAGATTCAAAACCGCCTTCTAGTTTCGGAGCATTTGCAATATGTTCTGGATAAAACTGCAGGATCTGGATTTTAGGGCTCACTTCTGAATTATTCATTTACAAGGCACCCTCACAAACGTGACCCAAAAGATTCTTTGTGCATATAATGCATGAAGCTGTGAATTAATAGAGCTGTTTTTCTCCCTGGGTTGCAACAGACTGCAGAACCAAAACAGAGCTGCCATTCAGTTTCAGTTTAAATCACAAAAAACAAGAGAGATCAAAAAAGAAATAGAAAAGGCATAACACATTTTCCTTCAGAAGAAAAATATGCAGCCTTCATGTAAGACCTTAAGGAGCAGCTCCTAAATTTATTGGATATATTTGTTATCAAAGTAAGTAGCTTTGGGTGCTGCCTTATTCGTGGGACGAGAGAGAGCAGCTGGCTGCCGCAGCGGCGCAGGTGTACGCCACCTCCGTAGCTGCTCCCCAGGCAGGTCAGCAGGCAGTATTATTTTTCAAATCAGCATGAAAGGAACACGCTTGCCTGGTATTTAGGATCTTGGACTGCTGTTTGAGAAAAATCACAGTATCGGTTACCTCATGTCACCGTTTTTCAAGGGACAACGTTTAGCCCAGCATCTTGTCTCTGACAAACAGCCAGAGTGCTGTTCAAGACTGCTGTGTCTTACCCCGGAGAGAGCTGTCTACCAGAAGCACTGGTTTTGTTTGTTTGTTGCGCGTGTGGCACTGAAAACAAAGAGTTTTAATTTCTAATTATCGCTGTGTGTTTGGGAAAGGAGCCCTGCTATTTTCACCTTGAAGAGTTCTGTATAAATACAGTCGCGCTATCCTTACATTCTAGTAACAGTTCAAGTAATTACTCTTCACGTGAACGGCTTGCATGTAGGTGGTGTTCTTCTGCTCAGTAAGCAGCTACGTACAACGCTCAAATAGCGTGTTGATTGAAATCTAACCGGCCATTTAACACTTATCTATAATTCCAGCCTATGATTTTGATATTGCCCTTTTCAAGAAAGGGCAAGATTTGGGGCATTAATACAAAGCCTCAGGTCAAAACTCATGGAGACAACATTGAGCAGTGATTCACTGACGAATGAATCACAACCCCCAGCATAAGGTGATGGCAAAGAACTACAAACAATAAATAAATAAATTGCAGTCTAAAGCAAATATACTGCCATTTTGTTCCTTCAGCCTCCCCACAGCCTTCCACTTGATTTCTCAGCCTCGTTGAACGCTAGCGCACACACGTACACAGACGCACGCACACAGATATAGGCGCTCTATTGTAGGCTTAACACCAAAACATTTTTTACCTTTCCATTGTGAAAGAATCACAAAAGTGACTGCATATATGATGTCTGAAGTTTTCAACTAAAGCTACTGAAACGTATTTTAATTTTTGCCTGTGCAATAGCCACCCTCTAATTTTTAGATGGTTTGACAGGATGTGCTAGCATCAAAAAGTTTCATTTACAGGGGAACAGCAGGCTGGAGGGCAGAGCAAAAGCACAGGTTAATTAATATCCAAACTAGAACATATGCACGAAGAATTCTATGAAAGATTTGTCTAAACAAAGGCTTGTGACTGCATTTCGGAGCCACGCTAACCACTTCCCTTAATATCAGAAGTATTTACTGTAAAGGCGCCAGCAGTCCATCATGTGACTTAGTCCACAAGCGCCTGTTTGTTCTTTCCCTCGTTGTGTAATTTCTTGAATTGCATCAGAGGAAATGATTGTTTTGGCATGAGCTAAAAGGAGGCCCAGGAAAAGCTAGTTCTCCTCGGCACGAGGAAGTAAGTCTGTTAGCCGAGAGGGATTTCAGATGCAATGTTTTCTCCCCTAATTTAGGACCCAGATCTTTCCCACTGAATACCAGTTTTCTGTTTTGAGGGGAAGTATATTAAGGTATTAAATGCATGTACTACCATTGCCCAAGTATCTAACTTCTGGGATAGTCACATGTTTTGAGCACTTTTCTCCTGGCAAACTAGCAGTGATTTTATTTTATTTTATTGACAATTCTGTAAACAGAGGAAGAACTCCTCTCACCAGACAAGGGCTTGCTTTGCTTTCCCATGATCCGTATAAGCAAAAGGTGCCTCTTCCTCATGGTTTACTTTTTTGTTCATTTAGTTATATGCTCTCCCAACTACACTGATAGCTTAGTTTGGACTTATAAAGGCAGTTTTAATAAGATAAACCTAAATGTTAAACAATTCACATTAAGCAACCATCTGGCCCCCAATGGAAATTTTCATGTTTTAGATTTACATATCAGCATTTGCCATCTGGGCAGAGTCTGTTATACATTTTATGAGAAAATCTCTGACTACATGGTAAAGTTTGACTATTAACTCTTATTGCTCCTAAGCAAACATATTTGTAGTAGGGCAAAGGAAAGGGACCCTATTTCCATGTTATTCCCATAGACTGACTTTTGTGCTTTAGACAAAATGCTCATCTTTCTGTTTCATCCCCGTTTGGTTTATCTAACTGGTTTTGTTTTTGTTTGCAATATAAGCCACTTACAGGTAGAGTCACTAAAGCAGAAACATCAGTAGGGAAACAATCTTGCATCTCAGACAGAGCTTGCCAGTTGTTATTAACCAATTCCTTATTACAGAGCACATCCATAGTTTTTTGCTCATATGCTTTTTAATGTCATGCCTTTTGCAACATAAACTGGGACAATATTAACCATCTATCTCACCAGACAAAGACTTGGCTTCCTTTCCCATGATCTATTAGCACCTAACTTGAAAAAAAAAAAAAAAAAGGAAAATTTCACAAACCAGGATGAAAAAATGAAGGAGCAATAGAATCAATGGATATTGCATCCGCAGGAAACTCAGAAGGGGACTCCACAAGAAGCAGGAAAACACTCCTACAGCTTACTAGGAAGAGAACTGGCAAAATATCCCCAAATTCCTATTTGTTTTCCAGAAAGTGAAAGGAATGAACAAAAAGCATCTTCAGTCCTCGCAGTTATTCAAAACAGGGTGTGGGAAGTGAGGATCAGGGCCACTCCAAGGCAAGAATGAAAGAGAGAGGAAGGAGTAATAAAGAAAGGAAGTGTAACAGAAGGCACTGGAAGCATTTTTAACGTTTAAGAAAAGCACAGATAGAAGCAACAGCTGAATGCTTTCCCATCAGTATCTTCAGGAGGGACTGATTTTTTTTACAGCAGGTTTTACAAATGATTTATAAATCATGTAATGTTTTCATATGATCTCTGAAAGCTACCATATCCAGTAATTTGTTTTTTATATTCCAGACCTTGCAATCTGGTGATTCTTTATCAAGGTAAGCTACCACCACTCTTAATTACAGAAAAAAATCCTGGAATCATAACCCC